GTGTGGTTCTCTGTCCAGTGAGGGAGAGAGAGGTTTGTCACAGACCTGACAGGCTTTTCAGTAATGACGCTTCTCAGGCTCACAAAGAAAAAGATGCTGCTGCTGTTAGCGTCTGCATGCTATGTTAGCATCTGCATGCTATGTTAGCGTCTGCATGCTATGTTAGCGTCTGCATGCTATGTTAGCGTCTGCATGCTATGTTAGCTCAAATGCTATTGTCACTACCCGATCCGTACCGGAAACCCGATCGGTACCCCGCATGCGCAAATCTTACGTCACTTCCTCTCTTTGCCAACATTGCGACATTCAATATATTTGAATGATACGGTTAGCGCCCAGTTAGCTCCTAGCATTTCTCAACAGCTCTGCCTCCTTTTCGACTACCGGGACATTTAAACGATGGATAATCCGTGTACAAACAAATTCATGCTTTTCTCCTCAACAGAGAGCGTTCCCGATTGAACAACAGCGCCGTAAAATAAGAAGAATTCGGGTAGACCCGGTAGACCCGATTTGTACGGTCCGACTTTGCACATGCGCAGTAAGGATCGGGGAGTCCCGATCCGTAACTATCTTTTTATTTTTCGTTTTTGTCTACATTGTACTGAAATGCTTCATTATTGCAAACATTTTAAGATATACTTATTATTCTAAACATTTTAACAGATACTCTGACCCATAACTATCGTAAAACGCTACGACCGGAAGTAGACACCTTTCGCGCATGCGGGGTACCGATCAGGTTTCCGGTACGGATCGGGTAGTGACACTATGTTAGCGTCTGCATGCTATGTTAGCTCAAATACTATGTTAGCGTCTGCATGCTATGTTAGCGTCTGCATGCTATGTTAGCGTCTGCATGCTATGTTAGCTCAAATGCTATGTTAGCGTCTGCATGCTATGTTAGCTCAAATGCTCTGCCACACAAAACCACACAGAGCTGAGCTGAGCAGATTGGCCCTCTGTCACTGCTACCAAAGGGGTATATCAATGCATATATCTACGACTGGTCCTTCTCTTCAGACTGTAAGCAGCGATTTTAAAGTGAAGGACATGCAACATGCTAGCATGTCAGAAACAACACAGAACAAGTTATCTCATTGAACAAGCTGCAGGCAGAGATGTTCTGTCTTTTGACTGCTTGTAATTAATTGATTATCAAAATGTTTGCTAATTAACTTTCCCGTCTGCTGACTAATTGAAAAATCTGTAGTTACCTCCTAATGTGCTGAGCTCTTTCAAGCTTTCAGAACAACTGAGGCTTTAGGAGCTGCTCAGGATGATAACACTTTACTTCCAACAACAAAGAAGGAAAAACAAACAAACCCACATAAACAGTCTTCCAGTCATCTGCATTAGCGACTAACAGAACCAGTTGTTTTGTCGGTGTTTACAAAGCCGATCTTTTATCCAGCAGGTAAGAAAGAGCCGTGCTCACGTTCGCCTTTATTCGCTCCCGTGCTGTCATGAACACCAGCTTTGAAGTCCCCCAAAAGACTCATTTGCTGTTGATTCATGTTGTGCGGAGTAAAAATAAAAACAAGTGTGAACCGACGCTTTCTCACACTGCGCCCTTGTCTGAATTTGAAAAAGTGGAGCCGTGGCAGCGCTTCTCTAAAAATAAATGCATCTCTGTCACCTTCAGACAAGAATGGCCGTTAATAGGATTTCACCACAAAACGTGTTGCAGGGAACATTTTAAGCTGCACTCTTCTGATTAATAGTCCCGTCCTCGAGCCTCCTTCAGTTTCACATAATTGCCAGCCTTTCAAGCATGCATCTATAATTTCATGCACTTTTATCTCTCACCTATTAACTGCAGCAGCACAGGCCGGCCGCAACACGGATAAGGTTGCAGCCGTCGGTTTAATTACCGTCGGGCTATTTTCTGATGTTGTGTGCATGGTTGACCTTACAGGTCAAGAAATGACAGCAGCCGGCACACCCAGGTGCACACGAACAATAAAGCGAGTCACAGTGTAATTAGACCGAAAGCTAAGAAGATTCAGACGGAGTTCATTTCCTCGTATCGTCAAAGGCTCAGAACAGAAAAACGAGGAAATCATACGTTCACCTCCCTCATGTTTTCAAATGATTTTTATTACCACTTAATTTGCCATTTGATCTCATTCACCCAGTAAATACATCCCAGGACCGAGCTCTCACCATACTGGTGAGAAATCAGATGTCACTGGTGAAGGTGGATCTCACTAAGAAACCCTGAGGCGTCCCACTCTCGTATCATAGCAACTCGACGCCGTAAGCTAGCCCTGAAGCACAGCGCGCTTTATCCACTTTCGTTTATCAGCCATGTCTATCATAACATCATAAAAGGACTTGAAACGAGTGAAACACCATAAAGCCATCAGGACGGCAGTCGTCCAGGTCATGTTCCTCATGTTCACTATCACACAGAGTCCTGATTGTCCTTAGAGATGCAGGTTCATCAATTTGATAATAATAATAAACATAAGCCTGATAAATCAATCTTTTTCAGGAAGTAAACGGTTATTCAGTGTAAAATATGTAACCAAGCCAACACCAAAGGAAAGACAAACACAGTTAGCATGTAGATGAAGATGAAGGAGTTTCCCCAAGGAGCTGCTGGAGCCTAAATTAAAGTTCAAGCATAAAGACGCGAGTACAGGCTGGCATGCTGTGAAGTGTGTGCACTGGATGATAACAGTGGCTCTACACAGTGCAGCCCTCTGGCCCACACGGTACAATGTAAGCAGTGGCACTGCTGTATGTGTCATCATTTGAATAAGAACAGGGTCCAACCAAAAGCTGAAGGGTGTCCTGGCGCAGCCTTAGAGATGCACCAAATGTTGGCCTCCGTGATGAAGTGACAGCAGCGGCTGAATGAGGATCTGAGTGATTCAGGGTAGAGCTGCTGTTCCCTCAGTGATGGTTCAGGCTTCCTGTGAGGATGCCTTCTGGATGCATCTAAGCTGAGTAATCCGTCCATCCAAGAGGAGGCCCAGAACACGATGGAAATGTTTTTCACGTGGTTTGAGAACATCTGCGAGTCAGTGTCCAAACAGAAGAGCCAGAGGCTGGGAGATGTTTGGACTACAATGAGACTGCTGTGCCCAGCAGTAGAAATGGACGTATGGATGGCTGCTTAAAGAAAACAGAGGAAGGCTGAACTCATCTTGAGGAGTTTGTACACCACTGCAGTATCGGCGAGGAGTTTGTACACCACTGCAGTATAGGCGAGGAGTTTGTACACCACTGCAGTATCGGCGAGGAGTTTGTACACCACT